CGTATCAGCACATGTACCGACCAATTGCAGTTCTGATGCACAAAAGGGCGATTTCTACGATGAACTCACCCATCTCGTTCGAATGAGTCGAAACTCCTACATAGTTGTATTTGCAGGTGACTTCAACGCGCAAGTTGGGAAACTGGGCGCATCAGAAGCTTGTCTAGGCGAGAGCTGTGCTGTGCCCAGCCAACAAACAGATAACGGCGATCGACTTTTTCAGGTCTGTGCAGACCGTCATCTGTTCCTATCAAGCACCAACTTCCGACACAGCTCTCGACGGACGACACTGTGACGCTCTAGTCCAACTGGTATGCTAACCCAAATCGACCACATAGCAGTAAGCTACCGTTGGCGTGGCTCAGTGCATAATTGCAGGTCCTATTGGATCACCTGCGTTGAGTCTGACCACGCATTAGTTTTGATGCAGTTCACTCTCCGATTAACTGGTTGGCGACAAAAGCAACTCATCGTCGACTATCTGTTCCAGCAGTTCGTTCGTATGAGTCAGAGATAGTGCGTGAGCTAAGCGCGTCTCAGCGTGATGATTTAAGTGAACATTGGGATCAGATTAGGCGCGCAATGCATCCCACAGCGAATGTTGCTTGTGGGTCAGGAGTCAGCAGTTTTGATTGAGAGAAAAAACGACAAACCCCGACCTGCCAAGATCAATATAGAGTTAAGTGGCATCTACAACGTCCGCTCACGAAGAGCCTCAAGAAGGACCGTGGTGGGCAACAATATCTGGTGAAATGAAAGTAGCAGCTGCATCGGGGAATAGTCAAAGACTGTTCCGAATGATACGCCATACGGGAGAAACAGTCTGCGATAAGATGGGACAAGCTATTCATAATATAGATCAACGACTTGATGGCTGGGCGGAATACTTCAGCGAACAATTCAGCTGACCTAGTGCTAACCAGGCTACTTCATCCACAACTGAAGCTCCGCAGATAGTGTCATGCGATCCCCCAGCAGATGCATTCAAGCTCTGAAGCGAGGAAAGGTAGCAGGACCGGATGAGCTCCCTCGCTCTTTTCAAGATGTGTGTGTGTGGGGGGGGGGTGATAATCTCGTATTCTCTATTACTACCCTACTGCGCAACATTTGGTCGCAAGAGCGCATTCCTTCATATTGGGGCGAATCACCGATCGTTCTCATTTTCAAGAAAGGATCCCGCAATGATTGCGAAAACCACCATGGGATCAGTTTGATCCCGATCGTCACCAAAGTGCTAGCCTAGGTCATACTTTGCCGTCTGACGCCTTTTAGAGAGATCAACATCCGTGAATAGCAAGCCGGATTCCGACTTGGCCGTGGATGTATTAATCGAAGTGTCACATTGCGTCAGGTCATTGAGCTGCGTCACACCCACCGTCGGCCAACGATCGCTGTGTTCCTTGACCTGAAAAGAGCCTTCGACTCAGCTGACCGCCAAGCTCTGATGGGTTCGCTTCTTCGAAAAGGAGTGCCCCAGAAGTACGTTAACCTACTGAGGTCACTGTACTCACATACCCGGTCGTTTAAGGGGCTACAACGAACTAAGTAGGCCGTTCGTCACCAGCAGCGGCGTTCGTCAAGGGTGCCCTCTTTCACCGTTCCTGTTCAATTTCGTCGAAGACGAAATACTGGAGAGCGCACTAAGGGGATTCCAAAACGTAGGTATTGAATGGGCAGCTGGAGAAAAGCTGTGCAATTTGGAGTACGCTGATGACATCGTCTGTCTTTTTGAATGTTTGGAGGACGCGCAAAGCGCACTTGATAGACTAAAGTGCTGTTGCCATACTTGGTATGTGCTTTGCACCTTCAAAGTGCCAAGTGATGCTGCAGGACTGGGTTTCGCCTACTCTTGCGCTGAAACTAGATGTCCAGGATTTAGTTGTGGTGGATTGCTTTTCCTAGTTGCGGGACCAATGACGGTAGTGCAGCAAAAGAGATAACCGCTCGCATCTCCAAGGCTCGATCAACGCAAGCAGGATTGAAACACCTTTGGCGTAGACGCGATGTTTCACTGAAGTTAAAAGGTGTTGTTTGTAGTGCTACCGCTCGTTAAGTTCTGCTTTATGGTTGTGAGACCTTGAATTTGCGAGTAGAAGATATCAGTCGACTAGAAGTTATCGATTATCAGTTTTTACATAGTTTAGCCCACGTTGGATGGAACGAGCGGGTGAGTAATCTGGAGGTAAGTCGTCGTGTGTTTGGGAGTTTATCAGGGATAAACCTGCTAGCACACCGAATTCAAATCAGTAGGCTTCGCTTGCTAGGGCATCTATTGCGTATGCCCAGCTGTCGTCTGCCACACCGCACTTTATTCGCTGTAACTAATCCGAGCTGGAGGAAACCGCGTGGAGGTCAACAGATTACGTGGAGACGAGTCATGAAGAAATGCACATAGTCATTAAGTAGAGTAGGTGTCTCGCACCTTCCAAGTTGGGGTCCGAAAGACTCCACAACCGGTTGGTTTGGAGAAATTGAAGGATATGGCAGCGAACCCACAACAGTGGCGTTCTTGTTGTCGTTTCTTATCAGGTCAGAATGCTTGAAACGGTATGTATGCAGAGTTCGATTGTGCACTCCATGTGTTGATCATAGAGGTTCACCTTCTTCCTCCCTCAAAATGGGTCCAATCCCTGTCCACCTTACATTTTACCACTAACCTTGTATGCATTGCGAGTTTGGCAGCTATCAGTGAAGTTCGCCTCACTATTTCGCTGTACGATGATGATGCCGTACATTCTCTCACCAAGGCTTTCATACCTTGGGTACGATAAACCTGGCCTAGTCCGTCTATCGAGCGGTTGGTCCGGGTATGGTCACTGATGTATGCCTCAGACTTGTGGAGCCACAAGTGATCGTTGAGTACATGATGGAGAACAAGGAGGAGAAGGATGTCCCTAAAGGGACAGTTTACCAGTTAGAGGTGCTGTTCCTGTCAGATACTCCATACAAAGACAAAAGAGTGATTTGAAGAGATGTTGCCGGTCAGAACGTTGAATGGAAGTTGTAGTATCTCATCGTGAATCCCTCATCAATACTCACTACTCATCATTACTACTCACTTCTAATTTTCGATGCAATAAACGAACGAATTCTGCTGAGTTCATTGGAATTTTACTGATTACATTTGATTACAGATCATTTTGTAATGAAAAGTAGACAGAGTAGACCCTATAGTCGCGAAAATCATGTACCTAAGCCCCAGGTTAAACTTCATATTGCCCCACTAGTTCAGGCGTGGTATCAAGCTGGTTATCACCACAGTTTGTTGGCAGTGATGGTTTTCCAACCTCGGACCCGAAATACGACGTTGACAGTAACCTAAGTCGCTTGGCCACCGTCATATATATGTATATATATATATTTTCAAAAGGAAAAGGCGAGCACTGAATGATAGTATTTATTGTGACGTTTCGATCCAGATTAGGACTCGTAGTGATTGTTTAAATTGCATACTCAATAAAATAGTTTGTAATGTTTTGCTATCCATGCACATTTTATACCAAAGAGTCTTCGGGACTTACGTGTTTACCCACACAGCAGCCTAGGTTAATAACGTGATGGAATGTTCAATTTCCATTCCCTTAATCATCCCTTTCAGGCTTATCACGGATGTGCAATTGGAAAAGCTAAACAGAATGCTACCACAGAAATCGAGAAACTAAAGCCGTCGGAACTGTCCGCAAACGAGTTGGTCCGAGAAGCTGCCAAAATGTAAGTATGAGACTCCTCTTCGGTGAGAGATTACTTACTCGAATAATGTATTTCGTATTATCAAAGTAAATTAATTGTGTGGATTTTGATGGTTGAGTGACTTCAATCACTGTCATTAGTGTGCGCCGGGCCCCATAGTTCGAAGTTCGGATCCTGAAACCAACCTCTTATTTTGACGGTCGACTGTTGTGCTACCTTCCGGCTCAACAGCACACCCATTCCAGCGTTGCCTTAACTATTTCACTATAGCAAGTCCTCTTTGCTATCTGTTTCATTTTGGTTCAACTAGCGGTCGTTGTATTGGCGTTACCTGTGACAGCTGCCTCGTGCCTTGGGGGATGTAGCTTGTTCCATAAGAGTAGGTGAATGCATAAGGATCCATAAAAGCGGCTCATGGGTTATTTATATTTCGGTTGTAATTGTTTTGATAGCGCCCTAGTGAAGCTCAGGTGCAGTCTAGTCGTAAACGTTGGGCGTCACACTTCGTCTTGCCAGCCCCCCGTCTGTGTTATCACCTTTGAATGCTAGTTGCAAATCGGATGGTTTTCCGTTATCCATATTCACCACCGGTCTTTTGGGTCTGTCTCTGGCCTGGTTATCAACAGAGCGATCTAGATGATCTCTTCGGTGAAGATATTTGTCAATGTTTTCAACCTCATCTGCTAAGATACTGAAGTAACACATTACTCATTCACACGCGGCTAAGCATCGGAGCGGATTTCTTATTTGCTTTAGTGGCTCAAAGTTGGTGTCATTCAGACTATTCCGCTCATGTTGGTTTACTGTGTACTGTTCAAGTGATTCCAACTACCGTTCGACGTATCAGGATATCCTGGAATGGAATGTGATCATATTTCTCCCGTTCGATGATTAATTCGTGTTCTTTTTATCTCCATGTTGGTTTTCCGGCTGGTTAAGAAAGATAAATTATCCGCTCATCCGCAATTTCTCTTACAAACGAGACGCATACAACAAGTTGACGGTAAATCTTTTGGTTGAATGCAAAGCTTTTACCTCTGCACTGCACGCTTGCTAGCTATTACCTTATGTTTAAGGCAACATCCACTGGGACGGTATTTCCCAGACTGACAGACGCACCTGAACAGGTAACTTGCTTCATGTTTGTGCGCTCGCATGACCTAATCCAGAAGTGGCATAAGCTAGGTGCTCGTGGTATTTCATTGCTACAGATCGCCTCTTCTGATTCACCTCAGTTTGTGGTATTCGTTTTATAATGAATGAGTAACCGAATTGAACTGCGTTCGAAGACTGGTAAGCTGAATATTTCTTGTTAATTGATGCTTCTCTTTACCACCGCT